TTAGTACAAAAAACACCCGTCCCTCCCTCTTCTTTCCCACTGTGCCTCCCGGCAACTCAACACGTATCTTCCTCACCCATTAGGAAAGGAACGATAGCTTCCCTTTGATTGTGATAGGCAATTATGTCTTTAGTTGTTTGGCATTTAACACAGCTGTGAGCTCCCCTCTCTTTCTGTATCTATTTATCTCTCTTTTGATCAGCCTCTCACTGTGCTGTTTTGATATGACTCAATCTCATCCTTCACCTTCTAGAGCGTGAGAATGCCAACAGCCGAGGTCTGCATGGGTCCTTGGAAGTGGAAGCTGATCGGACGGACCAGTTTCTGATAGATAAAAAGTAGGAGAGCGTGACTAAAAGGAGTGACATTAACTGAGGGACGTGAGAGGATAAGCAAAAAATCCCATTTATTACCAAAAGTCATGAACGATTAAAGCATGAAATAGTAAAAGCACATTCAGATCCCTTCCACTCCCTCCCATCAATTGCATTGTCATTGGCAGACATCTTAGCTAACTTTCATTGGTTGAAACGGAAAATATTGATTAGAAAACAAAATATACATGCATTATCAGAATCAATGGCTTTTGGTAGATGTGGTGAACATCAAAATGCAAGTACCACTCACTTGTGACATTATACATTACTATCCTAAATGGCTGTGTCATTTATTAGCCATCATGCCTCTCCTTGTCACTCCTTTTCATGCCAAACAAGGAGTTGGCATGATAGCACAAACAGTGAGTGTACAAAACATTACATTTCCATTACATAGACTGACCAGGTGAAGGCTATGATCCCTTATTGATACCACTTGTTAAATCTACTTCAATCAGTGTAGATGAAGGGGAGGACACAGGTTAAAGAAGGATTTTTTAAGCCTTGAGACAATTGAGACATGGATTGTTTATGTGTGCCATTCAGAGGGTGAATGGGCAAGACAACATATTTAAGTGCCTTTGAACGGGGGTATGTTAGTAGGTGCCAGGTGCACCGGTTTGAGTGTGTCAAGAACTGCAACTCCGCTGGGTTTTTTACACTCAACAATTGACTGTGTGTATGAAGAATGGTAGAATGGTCCACCACCCAAAGAACATCCTGCCAACTATGACACAACTGTGGGAAGCATTGGAGTCAACATGGGCCAGCATCCCTGTGGAACCCTTGACACCTTTTAGAGTCCATGCCCCAACGAATTGAGGCTGTTCTGAGGGCAAAAGGGGGTGCGACTCAATATTAGGAAGGTGTTCCTAATGTTTTGTACACTCAGTGTATGTCATATACAGTGGGGTCCATAATTATTGACACCCTTGATACAGATTTGGAAAAAAGACTGTAGAATAAATACTACAACTACAGTGCTATATTGTGTGCATTATTTTATACTAATACAATTGCTCAGAGATTTTGTTTAAAAAGAGCTCTTTGGCCACGCACACAAGTGATGGGTTTGGCGTCTAAAAACAGAAGCATATACAGAAAAGTACCTCCTGCCTACTGTAAAATATGGCGGTAGATCTTTGACGTTATGGGGCTATTTAGCTTCTACTGTTCCTAGGGCCCTTGTTAAGATCAAATGCATCATGAACTTTACCAGAGAGGAAGAGACGAAGAGAGAGGTTTTACTGTGCCCAAAATATGTCCACGAAAATAAATAATATTTTTATGGAGGTCAATGAGAGAGTGTCGAATTTGGTCAACAAAACATTGATTTGCTAATTTGTTAAGTGAGGCTTATTTGATCGAATACAAGTTAAATAATGGTTTGGTTGTTAACAAATGCACTAATATAAGTGGACACGTGGCATTTTGGCAACTTACCCAAATATGGCTTTAAAATCGAAGTTGGGTCTGTTGTCATAGAGATAGAGGACTCATCATTGATATAACCTGTTTTAGCATGAACATTGCCATTGAGGGCGTTCATTGTTTTAAAGTATTCAACTGGGTGGGGATTCCTATGAGTGAGCAAGCGGCCAACGAAGAAGAAAGCCTCTGCTGTCACAGATGCTATAATGGCACATTTTGACATCCGTTTTGTCACCCAAAGCCCCATATACTACCCACCATTGTGACCTGTACGCTCTTGTTGGCTGGCCCTCACTACATATTCGTCGCCAAACCCACTGGCTCCAGGTCATTTATAAATCACTGCTAGGCAAATCCCCTTCTTACCTTAGCTCACTGGTCACCATAGCAACACCCACCCGTAGTCTGCGCTCCAGCAGGTATATCTCACTGGTCATCCCCAAAGCCAACACCTCCTTAGGCCGCCATTCCTTCCAGTTCTCTGCTGCCATTGACTGGAACGAACTGCAAAAATCTCTGAAGCTAGAGACTCTTATCTCCCTCACTAACTTTAAGCGTCAGTTGTCAGAGCAGCTTACCGATCACTGCACCTGTACACAGCCATTCTGAAATTAGCCCACCCAACTACCTCATCCCCATATTGTTATTTATTTTGCTAATTTGCACCCCAGTATCTCTATTTGCACATCTATCATTCCAGTGTTAATACGAAATTGTAACTATTTTGCACTATGGCCTATTTATTGCCTTACCTCCATAACTTACTACATTCGCACACACTGTATATAGATTTTCTGTTTGTATTTTTGACTTTATGTTTTGTTTACCCCATGTGTAACTCTGTGTTGTTGTTTTTATCGCACTGCTTTGCTTTATCTTGGCCAGGTCGCAGTTGTAAATGAGAACTTGTTCTCAACTGGCTTACCTGGTTAAATAAAGGTGAAATAAAATAATAAAAAACATACAAAGATGAGTCCTCTATCTATTTCTATGGCCTGTTATTGACACTCTTATCTGCCCTCTCATTGGCTAGAATGGTCCCACCTGAGCTCGCCTCCTACCGCCTGCCTTCCATCTTTGCGGACATGTATTTCCATTGTTAGAGCAGTCACTCAAATATTTTGTTTATACAAAAACAATCTTTGACTTTACCAAGTATGAGGATATTTTAGCCAAAAACCTTGTTGCCTCTGCCAGGAGGCTGACACTAGGCCACAAGTGGATCTTCCAGCAAGACAATAAACCGAAGCACTAATCAAATTCCACAAAAAAATCATTAAAATCAACATTTTGCATCTCAGTCTCCAGACATTTTAGAAAAAGGATCAGTGTTGTTATCCTCACAAGTGCTAGAGTATTGAAAACAGACGTGTCAAAAACAATTTACCCCTATCTTTTAGAGATTTTTTCTATTACTTGTTAAACAAGATCTCTTTCTCTGAGCAATTGTATAAGTTTAAAATAATATAATTGTCCTTTTTTTTTTGCATTCAATATAGTATTTGTATTATTCATTTTATTGTATTTTTTGCTCATTTTTGTCAAGGGTGTTAATAATTATGGACCCCACTGTATATGATATACACAAAGTGTACAAAACATTAGGAACACCTTCCTAATATTGAGTTGCACCCCCTTTTGACCTCAGAACAGCCTCAATTCGTTGGAGCATGGACTTACAAGGTGTCGAATGCGTTCTACAGGAATGCTAGCCCATGTTGACTCCAATGCTTCACACAGTTGTATCAAGTTGGCTGGATGTCCTTTGGTTGGTGGAAAATTCTTGATACACATGGGAAACTGTTGAGCGTGAAAAACCCAGCAACGCTGCAGTGTATGTATATTTATAATTTCATTTATATACACAAAGGGTTAAAGGTGCAGTACAGGCAGTGCTCCAATCAGTGTTGGGGTCAATTTGAATTGAAGGCACTCAATTCAGGAAGTGATTTGAATAAAAAAAATCTAAAATTGAACCACTTCTGGAATAAATAGCTTCTACTTTTTTGCTTATTGAGAATTCATAAAAAATAGAGGCCCTTTTTTCAATTATTGAATGGGAATTTCAGTTTGGTTTCTGTATTGACTGCCTTCAATTCGAATTGACCCAAACCCTGGCTCCAATGGTGTTTGCACAATGATATTTATTTACATAGAAACACATGAATAATATTTAAAAATGTACTGGGAAATATTACAAAATCTCTGATTCATCAGACAACACTGGGTTAAAAAACTCGGGTCAGTTTAATGACACGTGTCTTTCTTCCAAAATCACCCGAACATAAAGAGACACAATGGACCTCAATTTTGACAACGTGAAAAAGCAATGCTAGTGTCAAACAAGACTATTTGTTTTTACCAATACTTGTAAGCTAGTAGCATAATTCACCCAAAATATAAACATGGCTTCCTTACCCTGTAAACAGTTGTTGATTTAGATGACTTGGGTATGAAGTGTAAAACATGCTAATTTGGCGGATGTTGACTTGACATTAATTTGACATTGGTTTTTGGACAAAAATGCTAAAGGTAGCAATTGGTGACCGCAGCCAGGTAAACAAAACCAAAGCATGGATTGCTGTCTCCAAAGACTGCTTACAGGGAAAGGAAAAACATGTATTTTGTAATTTGGTTGAACTATCCCTTTAATGTGGGTTTACCACGTAACAATACCAGACCAGTGTTTAATTAGTATTGGTATCTTTTGAAAAACTTGGAGCATTTGATTGAGACTGTCTTTAGTGACAGATGCACTTTTAGGATTGCTAAATGACTAAAAGCTAAAAAGGTAAATTTGTTCCACTGTGTCAGGGGAGCTCAATCCAGCACAGCTAAAGTTGTTTAAGGAAGAGAAGTACTATTTGAACCCAGGTCTGAACGATACAGATTATTGATACACAATACAGTCACGTAACCATTGAATTCCAGACTTACATTTGAAGTGATGCAGGTTTAGGTTGACAACAGCGCTGCTTTTCTCCACTGTCAAAATGTCACCCTTACGTCAGCGTCATAACTGAAAGACCAACCATAAGTGAATCACTATTGTTGATAGACCTCCCTGCATCTTCACAATGATAATAGGCACCCCATTGAAAAAAATTTGAGGTATATATGGAGAATGAATGAGAGCGAGGAGTGAAGGACAGGAAGTGAATGCCCTGTAAACCCTGACCTACAACCCCCTAATCAGTCAGCATAGAGGATGAACCCTGAGAAGGTGCTGTATTTGTTGCTGTTGCCCCCGTGGGCCTTGCCCCCGTCCAGTTTGATGAAGACCTCATCCCCAGCGTCCAAATGAAGGATGACACTGTTGCTGGCGTAGTCATAACTCTGGTCCTGGTCTTGGGCTATGGCACTGGCCCTGACCTGGAAAAAGATACAACGTATGGGAGAGAGCGAGGGGGGGGGGGGGAGAAAGAGAGAGCACAAAGGAAGGAAAGAGTAGGAGAGAGAGGGGGGAAAAGAGAGTGAAGGAGAGAGAGTGAGAGTAGGAGAGAGGGAAATAGTGTGAAGGAGGGAGTAGGAGAGAGGTAGAGAGAGAAGGAAAGAGAGTAGGAGAAAGAAGGAGAAAACAGGAGAGTGATGGAGAGAGAAAGCAAGATTTTAGCAATGACACTTAAACAAATCACATTCAATTGCACAAAAGAAGTCCTGGTTGTAGTTAGTTTTGCTGTACTTTACAGGAGTCAGAAAAGGTATCCAGTGCCAAAAACGAATAACAATAATGTGCAAGTAATTCAAACACCATTTATCAACAACAAACAACGAATTAGAAATGGCAAAAGCAATGGTGGCATTGGTTTTCCAGTGACGAACATTCAATGAAAAGTAATTAACTGACTGAAGCATGTCGACCAACGGCCACACCTATTTACAACTCATGTCATTACCAAGGACTACTAGACAGTTTTGGGGGAGGGGTGGACTGATTGAATAAGAAGTCAAGTAATCAAGATGTTTGTGTAAAACTGTCCCCCACGGCAAATCCCTTGTTTTTATCCACTCTGAATAAGTCCTATGAGTCAACTGGAAAAATGTTAGCCTGAGTCAGCCAGGCTTTCAGATTGGAAGAAGTGCCCTATTTTCTCTACTAATACCCCAGATTTAGAGTCAGACCTCCAATATTTCAAGGTTGAACGCAGAAAATCAGTGTCCGATGCTCGACAGAGAGTTTCAACAGCAGCTTATGAGAAATTGCTCTTTGCTAAGAAGCTATTTTTGTTTATTTTTGACCAATCACAGTAAAGTACTTAATTGTTACCCAGAAATTATTTAATATTGAGATAGAAACGTCTGCATTGGACCTTTAAATCACAACTGCGCTAAATCGGGAGCGAAGTGCCAGAACCGCTTTCACACATTTCGAGTCGACGTCGGAAAAAAAGTGACACTGTGACTTCAAGGCCCTTTCCAACACTGAAGAACATACAAATCGTTTTTTTTTAAAGCTAATAGCTAAGAGTTGGTGTTGCCAGATTGGAATGCTCTAAGATATGCCACACTGTAGCTTAGACTAGCTAAGTTCTCTGGACTGTTTTGCACTGTCTAATCCAACTAACCCTCCGGGGGCGAGTGTCTTGCTGCCTGTTTCAGTACGAGGACCGAAACAAAGGCATGGGGTTGTAATTAGTGCTGGCTGAACGAGGACGTAAAAAGGAAAATATCATGAGCCCTGGAGGCTCCTGGGAGATGGCTTGGTCAGAGTGACAGGACGATGACGGATGTCAGTGCATGGATGATGGGTGACATGACATGGCTGTACCCTTCGCTCCCCGTCATCAAGAATATAAACACATAATCTACTGCAAGGTTCCCCAACTGGCGGCCCGCGTGCCGAATTTGTCCTGCGGGTGGTTTTACTTGGCCCCTCAAGTTTTCTGAGCAAGCAATTACACAGTACCAGTCAAAAGTTTGGACACACCTACTCATTCAAGGGTTTTTCTTTATTTTTACTATTTTCTACATTGTAGAAAGTAAAGACATCAAAACTATGAAATAACACATATGGAATCATGTAGTAACCAAAAAAGTGTTAAACAAATCAATATATTTTATATTTGAGATTCTTCAAATAGCCACCCTTTGCCTTGATGACATCTTCGCACACTCTTGGCATTCTCTCAACCAGCTTCATGAGGTAGTCACCTGGAATGCATTTCAATTAACAGGTGTGCCTTGTTAAAAGTTAATTTGAGCCAATCAGTTGTGTTGTGACAAGGTAGGGGTCCATATTATGGCAAGAACAGCTCAAATAAGCAAAGAGAAACGACAGTCCATCATTACTTTAAGAAATAAAGGTCAGTCAATCTGGAAAATTTCAAGAACTTTGAAAGTTTCTTCAAGTGCAGTCACAAAAATAATCAAGCGCTATGATGAAACTGGCCATCATGAGGACCGCCACAGGAAAGGAAGACCCAGAGTTACCTCTGCTGCAGAGGATAAGTTCATTAGAGTTAACTGCACCTCAGATTGCAGCCCAAATGAATGCTTCACAGAGTTCAAGTAACATACACATCTCAACATCAACTGTTCAGAGGAGACAGTGAATCTGGCCTTCATGGTCGAATTGCTGCAAAGAAACCACTACTAAAGGACACCAATAAGAAGAAGAGACTTGCTTGGGCCAAGAAACACGAGCAATGGACATCAGACCGGTGGAAATCTGTCCTTTGGTCTGATGAGTCCAAAGTTGAGATTTTTGGTTCCAAACGCTGTGTCTTTGTGAGACACAGAGTAGGTGAACGGATGATCTCTGCATGTGTGGTTCCCACCATGAAGCATGGAGGAGGAGGTGTGATGGTGTGGGGGTGCTTTGCTGGTGACACTGTCAATGATTTATTTAGAATTCAAGGCACACTTAACCAGCATGGCTACCACAGCATTCTGCAGCGATACGCCATCCCATCTGGTTTGTGCTTAGTGGCACTATCATTTGTTTTTCAACAGGACAATGAGGCTGTGTAAGGGCTTTTTGACCGAGAAGGAGAGTGATGGAGTGCTGCATCAGATGACCTGCCCTCCACAATCACCCGACATCAACCCAATTGAGATGGTTTGGGATGAGTTGGACCGCAGAGTGAAGGAAAAGCAGTCAACAAGTGCTCAGCATATGTGGGTACTCCTTCAAGACTGTTGGAAAAGCATTCCTCATGAAATTGATTGAGAGAATGCCAAGAGTGTGCAAAGCTGTCATCAAGGCAAAGGGTGGCTATTTGAAGAATCTCGAATCTAAATAAACACTTTTTTTGGTTACTACATGATTCCATATGTGTTATTTCATAGTTTTGATGTCTTCACTATTATTCTACAATGTAGAAAATAGTTTTTAAAAAAGTAAAGAAAAACCCTTGAATGAGTAGGTGTGTCCAAACTTTTGACTGGTACTGTAATGTTTTTTTCATGGTAGGACGTAAAAGACTGTAAAAACACCAGGAAATCAGCTCAAAGTTATTTTGATTTTGGAAATCTGTTCCAAAGTATTCCCACACATAATAGACATGTGATCATAAACAAATGTAAGCAAGGTTTGAAATGATTATGATTTAGTCAAATATTATGTCTGGGCTTCTTGAGGTCAACTTGCAGACTACAAATTATTTGTAATTATGTTCCAGCCTGCCGACCATCCGCTAAAGAAAAAATCAGCCCGCGGCAGAATCTAGTTGATGATCCCTGATCTATAGTACTGTATTATGATAAGGTTTGTATAATATAATAGGCTCCTTACGATATTTTCCAAGTGAAGTAAACCTATTGGAACAGTAGTCAGCAAGTTTGCCTATGGGCTGGGAGACCAAGGTTCGTTGCACTGTCGGTGTCCACTACAATGTACTTATGTTCTTCACAATAATTAATAATCATAGGGACTCTGGCAACAGCAGTAACAAATAATTACACAATTAATGATACATTGTAAAAGTATGACAATTACATAAGAACTATTGGCTTAGCTATAAAAATAAAAATAAATCACATTGTAAAAGTATCACAATTACATAAGAACTATTGGCCTAGCTATATAAAACAAAACAAAAATCTGTCGGTGTGCCCTTGAGCAAGGCACTTAACCCTACTTTTTCCTGTAAATCGCTCTGGATATGAGCGTCTGCTAAATTACTAAAATGTAATGTTCATCTATAATGTAAAGTGTGTCCTATGAAGCTTATGGTGGACTGCATCGTGAAGGTTTCCCTCTGTGTCAGTTATATTTACACTGTCAATGTTTGTCATATGTCTGTCATATGTCTGCACTCAGAGCAATAAAAACAGAACACCATCAAGTAACTCATGCAAGCAGTAAAATCTGATTTAAAAAAAGGATAAAACTACACCATATGGAACAGGGCGGACTGTGAAGAGACACATACGCTAACACACACACTCTACACACACGTATATACAGTGAGGGAAAAAAGTATTTGATCCCCTGCTGATTTTGTACGTTTGCCCACTGACAAAGAAATGATCAGTCTATAATCTTAATGGTAGGTTTATTTGAACAGTGAGAGACAGAATAACAACAACAAAAAATCCAGAAAAACGCATTCTAATGAGGGAAATAAGTATTTGACCCCCTCTCAATCAGAAAGATTTCTGGCTCCCAGGTGTCTTTTATACAGGTAACGAGCTGAGATTAGCTTGTTACCAGTATAAAAGACACCTGTCCACAGAAGCAATCAATCAATCAGATTCCAAACTCTCCACCATGGCCAAGACCAAAGAGCTCTCCAAGGATGTCAGGGACAAGATTGTAGACCTACACAAGGCTGGAATGGGCTACATTACCATCGTCAAGCAGCTTGGTGAGAAGGTGACAATAGTTGGTGCGATTATTCGCAAATGGAAGAAACACAAAAGAACTGTCAATCTCCCTCGGCCTGGGGCTCCATGCAAGATCTCACCTCGTGGAGTTACAATGATCATGAGAACGGTGAGGAATCAGCCCAGAACTACACGGGAGGATCTTGTCAATGATCTCAAGACAGCTGGGACCATAGTCACCAAGGAAACAATTGGTAACACACTACGCCGTGAAGGACTGAAATCCTGCAGCGCCCACAAGGTCCCCCTGCTCAAGAAAGCACATATACATGCCCGTCTGAAATTTGCCAATGAACATCTGAATGATTCAGAGGAGAACTGGGTGAAAGTGTTGTGGTCAGATGAGACCAAAATCGAGCTCTTTGGCATCAACTCAACTCGTCGTGTTTGGAGGAGGAGGAATGCTGCCTATGACCCCAAGAACACCATCCCCACCGTCAAACATGGAGGTGGAAACATTATGCTTTGGGGGTGTTTTTCTGCTAACGGGACAGGACAACTAAACCGCATCAAAGGGACGATGGACGGGGCCATGTACCGTCAAATCTTGGGCGAGAACCTCCTTCCCTCAGCCAGGGCATTGAAAATGGGTCGTGGATGGGTATTCTAGCATGACAGTGACCCAAAACACACGGCCAAGGCAACAAAGGAGTGGCTCAAGAAGAAGCACATTAAGGTCCTGGAGTGGCCTAGCCAGTCTCCAGACCTTAATCCCATACAAAATCTGTGGAGGGAGCTAAAGGTTCGAGTTGCCAAACGTCAGCCTCGAAACCTTAATGACTTGGAGAAGATCTGCAAAGAGGAGTGGGACAAAATCCCTGCTGAGATGTGTGCAAACCTGGTGGCCAACTACAAGAAACGTCTGACCTCTGTTTTTGCCAACAAGGGTTTTGCCACCAAGTACTAAGTCATGTTTTGCAGAAGGGTTCAAATACTTATTCCCCTCATTAAAATGTTAATCAATTTATAACATTTTTGACATGCGTTTTTCTGGATTTTTTTGTTGTTATTCTGTCTCTCACTGTTCAAATAAACCTACCATTAAAATTATAGACTAATCATTTCTTTGTCAGTGGGCAAACGTACAAAATCAGCAGGGGATCAAATACTTTTTTCCCTCACTGTATATATTTTGTATTGTAGATATGTTGTAATAGTGTGTAATAATGTGTTGTGAAGTGTAATGTTTTAACTGTATGTAAATTGCCTTAATATTGCTGAACCCCAGGAAGGGGATCCATAATAAAATACAAATACAAAACAATCATCCAAAAGCCAATATTCAATATCTACTAGCCTACACGTTGAACAGGTTGATAAACAACATAGCAGTTATGCACACTGGCAATGCATAATTGATTATGATCTGTTTTAACTGAACTATGTCCAGGGGCTGTATTTTAGTGTGTGTGTGTGTGTGTGTGTGTGTGTGTGTGTGTTGAACTGAGATGTCTCTATCCTGTTGACATGTCTCAGCAAGCATCATTCGATGATAATCATGTTCCTACAGCTCTGGGGTAAAGTTTAAGATTAGCTGATGTAGGATCAGCTTCCCCTCCCCCAATCCTTACCTTAAACATTAGTGGGGGAATAGCAACTGGCCCAAGATCAGCGTCTAGGGTCAACTTCACCCTATACTCCATTCCTACAGTACATAAAGATACACAAGCTCTCGTTGACAGTTTCCCACCTACTAGTGATTAACGTACCATGTCCCTGCCAGCCCATGATCATGACACCCATGTATCTCAATTCATCATATTAGGCACTGAGACCCCATTAAATTGCAAGCAAATGCGAGGCCCGTGTTCAGAATGTAATCCCACCGCGGTTCGGATAGGGATAATGAAAGGTGCGAGCAATTTTGTTAGGCTACATTGTATCGTTGTTTTTTTTTGCAGAGCTCACTGGTGAGCAAGTCGATACATGGTATAATTTCACTTCACCTTGAGAACCACACGTTTTCTAAGTTTAGTACTGTGTCCACAAATTGTTCTGGTGTTCCTAAATTCTGTACGATATGCTATACTTAAGATTTAGGAAGCAGTTCTAACAATTGGAATCACCTTCACAATTATTTCATAAATGAAATGTATTTTCTGAAGGTTTGTATAAAAAATGAAGTGTAGGCTACATTACATGTAATTGGAGTGCTATATTTTTTTTTCGCATGAACTGTTTTGCATTTTCCTTCATCCTGTTGACCGTCATGATTCAAATACATTGATTCAAATACATTTAATTCAATGCATTATCTTATTTCGGAATGAACATGACGATATTTTCTGCCATCTTTGCCGCAAGATTGCAATAACTATTTACCTATTGTGGACTAAACTGTTGGCATATATTCTGCACAGGTTTATTGCATATTATGATGAGTGTGCATGTGCTAGTTGAGATGCTAGGCGCAGTGCCCAGCTGGTGGTGCTGAAATAGCAAGGCTGCACTGCTGTTTTCTTTGCACTGACTCGCTTAACTGTCCGCGGTCCTGAAACCATATGGGTGCCGTTTTAAGGGTTACCACAGGTTACTGAAAAGCATGAGCTGGCGCACACCCCAAAAAGTTAGTAGACGTGCTGGCTAACGGCACATAAATTGTACTCTCTATAAATTACTGGGAGCTTATATAGGCTATAGATAAGAGTGTAGGAATCTCTTTATTTTTTATAGTCTATGGTTACAACAGGCTAACATCAGTATTATGGGGGCTTCTCCCTATAATTAGCTTACAACATGTCAAAGTTGAAGTGCATTGCGGTTGTATTTCACATTATTATATTATCTTGCTGCTTCGGAAACATTTTGGTGAGGACTAGGCCTGTATTACAAGTTGAGCAAACCGAGAGTGACATTTTGGCCAACTAACATGAACTTTCATTTGATCATGCTGTTTACATTTACATTTTAGTCATTTAGCAGACGCTCTTATCCAGAGCGATTTACAGTTAGTGAGTGCATACATTTTTCATACTGTGTATGTAATATAACAGTTACATTCAAAATGTGTTTTGTGGATATAAAACAGATGTTGCGCTCAGGTTTTAACTGTGATGAAACACAAATGTAAGCCTATAGGCTAGATAGCCTATGTGGCCTAACAATTGTCTTCTGGAAATGTGTCCTTTAAACGATGTATGGCTAATCGGCCACAGTGGCCTATGAACACAATTCTAACAGGTTATAAGCCTAGATAAAACAAAACAATTATCACAACATACAGCAGGTTGTAATATGGCTTTTTTCCTGGCTTGGCTCCCCTAGTGATTTTACCCACGCACCGCTACTTCCTTCAAAATGCTGGGCTCACGGTTTTTCGAATGACGTATTCACTGCAGTTTACAGGCTAGAGTTTTGTACTCACTTGAAAACAAAAATAAAATTCATCATTGCATTGTATTGTTGGATCGAGAGGATACTTGTCCTGTCCCTAAAAACGTATGTCTAATCAATAGGGGATCTTTGTCGGGGTCCGGAAGCGCAGCCTGGAGACATTTGATAATCAGATGGGGTTTTTCTTCTTGCGACCAGATTATCTGCAGTAGGCCTGGTCTATGTAGGCCTACTGTTTCAAAAAGATCTAGCAAAATAGCCTATCAGAAAAAACATGTAGCCTACGGGATAATGGCTACCCGGACTATTTGCACCCCCACCCAATCTTTTTACGCTGCTGCTACTCTGTTATTTATTTATGCATAGTCACTTTAACTCTACCCACATGTACGTATTACCTCACTACCTCAACCAGCCGGTGCCCCCGCACATTGACTCTGCACCGGTACACCCCTGTATATATAGCCTCCCTACTGTTATTTTATTTTACTTCTGCTCTTTTTTCTCAACACTTTTTTGTTGTTGTTTTATTTTACTTTTTTATTAAGAAATCAATGCATTGTTGGTTAACGGCTGTAAGTAAGCATTTCACGGTAATGTCTACACCTGTTGTATTCGGCGCATGTGGCAAATACAATTTGATTTGATTTGATAATGTGAAGACACAATATATGAAATGAATTGAAAGGGAACGTCTGAAGGGGAGAGAGAGACGGTTATGGTGCGATAGTGATGATGAAGACGACATTAAAGACAGAAATGATATGCCACCTGTCCTGTAGCCTATGAATGGGGTCGGAGTGTGAGCACACTTCTGACTATTTCATGTGCATGTCCACATGAATCATTTTAATCATGCCTACTGTAATCAGCCCCTCGTAGATTATAGCGAATGTCTTACACCCTCACACCTACCAGTCTGTTTGAGTTATAATTCCACTCCTTGTCACTCCTTGTCATGCTAAACATATTGTGCAACATATAAGCAATGGAATGTTAGCAAAACAAGTTCTGAATTTCACACTACACCAGGGTTAGGGTCAATTTGAATAGAAGTCAGTCAATTAAGGAAGTTATTTGAATAAAAAATTATAAAGTGGAAAAACATATACTTAAATAAATAGCTTCCCCTTTTCAGTTTGTTGAAAAGTCATTGAAAATGGATGCCCTTTTTGCCTCTTTCATGGATGCCCTGCGTTGACTGACTTTTGTAATTGTCAGAGAAATCAAGTGTGCCACTGTATTTTCAGAGAGAAAATAGGGAAAAGGCAAGTAAAAAAAAGAGTAGGCCTAAAAGTAAAAGAGTTAAATTGTGACAGTTTCACCCACCAGACCGTTCTTCAGCAGGTCCGCCCACATGCTGGTGCCGTCCCCTCCCCTCATCAGCACATTGTAGATGAAGAAGTAGGTTCCGGGGATCTTGCACGTGAACTTGCCAAGCGAGCCGTCATAGTTATCCCCCAAGTTGGTGACCACGTCGTCAAACTTCAGGACCTCGTAGCCCTCCTGGGGGTTCCGGAGTCCCGCGGAGAAAGCCACCCGTGGCGTGGTGCTGTAGGTGGCCGTGGCGATGGCTCCTTGGCCCCCCAGACCCAGTATCCCAGTCTTCAAAGCGTCTCCTCCGTCCCCTGGGGGTCCTTTGGGCCCCGGCGGACCGGGCTCTCCGGGGGGTCCCGGGGGTCCGGGTTTCCCGGGGCGACCGGGCTTGCCCTGTGGACCGTGGCTGCCATAGGTGGGCAGCGGTGGGCCGATGCTGTGGTCGCTCAGCTCCTCAGCCTCTGCTTCCGCCTGGAGGCCTGTGGTAGAGGTAGCTTTCCCCGTGCCCCCTGAGTCCAGATACGGGTCGCACACCATGCGGCAGGTGCCTAGCATCTCAAAGTGGCTGGCATCATCTGCGCCCACTGAGCTGACCAGCACGGGGATGAGGACCACCAGCACCAGGACCAGCATGACCCCCACGGCGGCCGCCACCAGGGTCTTCCTCCCAATGCTGAGCCGCGGAAGGGGCTGCGCTGCCAGCGTGGAGCTCTCCGGGGCGGGAATGGTGGCTGCTGGGTAGTGGGCCGCCGTCCACCTGCGAGACCAAGGATGCGCTTAGGATTCCCGGGAGAGACGCAAGACAGCGCGTGTGTGAGTGCGCAGAGGGAGAAGAGGAGGACGAGAGTGAAAAATTGAGTGGGACGGGGTAGACAGAGATCAAAATGAGAGGGAGAAGAGAGAGCAGGATGGAGAAAGATAGACAGAGGAAGACAGAGATAAAAAGAAGAGGAAGCAAGCAGAAGAGAGGGAGCAAAATGCGCTCACACTCACCGCTGACTCAAATGTATATGACTCAGGGTTGGGGGAAAACAAGAGGTGGGGGCTCGTGCCTGAGAGAGAGAGAGAAGAGAGAGAGAGAGAGAGAGAAGATAGGAGAAGAGAGAGAGAGAGAGAGTAGAGAGAGAGAGAGAGAGAGAGAAGAGATATAGATAGCATATAGCTACGAGAGCTGCCGACAGATCGCTCTCTAGAGCTCTCTCTAGATAGAGAGCGAGTCTCTCTCTCTCTCTACCTCTAGCTCTCGCTCTCTCTTCTTCTCTCCCTCTTGCTCTCTCTCTTCTCTCTCCGCTCTCTCTCTCTCTCTCTCACTTCTTCTAGAGATACGCGGATATCAGATCGAGATAGAGAGAGAGAATCCTCTTTACTGAGCAGCTCTGGGGGCTTCCCTGAGGTGAGAGGATTGAAAAACACAGACACTTATTTTTCCTCCAAACAAATAAAACACCTGTTCGTCTGTACATATCTTGGGGTCACTTTGCTTCTTTGAAATATAAACTACAACACACTATCACAGTTTATTTTAAAATAGACACAAATTACTTCTTCAAAATTCGTGACAGGCACACCAGTATTACACAACTTTTATGACAACGTATTTCATGTGTATTAAACGATTTTCTTTCTTCATAACGCATTCGTGTACATTACACAAATTCCAATTTGTTGTGGCTAACATTAGCTAGGCTAGCTAGGTGGCTAATGTTAGCTAGGCTAGGGGTTAAGGTTAGGGGTTAAGGTTAGGTTTAGGGGTTAGGGGTTAAGGTTAGGTTTAGGTTTACGGGTTAGGGTTTAAGGTTAGGGTTAGGTTTAGGGGTTAGGGGTTAAGGTTAGGTAACATGCTAGCTAAGTAGTTAAAGGGTTAAGCCAAGGTTAGGGTTAAGGTTAGGAGTTAGGTTAAAGGGTTAAGGTTAGGTTAGGGTTAGGAGAAGGGTTAGCTAACAATTTAAGCAGTTGCAAAGTAGCGAAAAGTAGCTGCAAAGTTGCTAATTAGGAATAATGCTAAGTTGTCCTTGATGAGATTGGAACACGCAACATTTGGGTTACTACACTTTCTGTTATACGCCCACCCATCCTCCCTATCCAATCGTTTCTGTAACCTACTGTCTTTAGCTGTGATTGAAATGCACTGTATACAAAATTGTGTACTGCACACAAAGAAATACACTTTTTTGTGTGCCTGTCACAAATTTCCAAGAAGCAATTTGTGTCTATTTCACAATAATCTGTGATACTGGGTTGTAAAACTGATATACTCTCGGGGGCAGCAGGAAGTGCATCTGTGTAAATATTACAGATGCACTATGCAGAAATCACTCCACCATCTCTTGATCGGTGGTTAGGCTATTAGCTGGCCAAAATTAGGCTACATGAAAAGTGCAATACTGTAATATAACCGTGGGTTTTCAGTGAATTTATGTCAATCATGATGCTCATTTGCATTTCCTGCGGCGGAAAATTCTCAGCGACAACAGAGTGATCAGATTTAGATCAACATCTGTAGGACTTAACTTAAAAAGGCTTCAAAGTTACTGTATCCTTAACTTTTGCCTTAGTAGAGTATAGGGGTGCTATTGAGCCAAAATGGGTAAATGGATAGAAATATTTTCCAGAAATTACTTTGTTGAACAGAAAGGGGTACACCTCCACCCACCCATGAGCAAAAGTATATTGTTTGCCAAAAACTAAGGATTTGTGTGGTGTTCATTAGATAAGAATAAAAGCCAAAATTGGATGCAAACAATTGGCTTCCATACTGGATCTTAAACAGCAGGTCTAGTTTCTTGGCCATTTATTATTAACATGCTGTCCTTCGTGTAAAACGTTTAGTCTAAAGTTTTAAAAAACGTGCGTTTAATAAAAAATAAAAAATATATTTTATTTCTCCCTATATAGGCTAATTAGATATTGAAGTGATTCCAGACATCTCTGTTTGGGTCCAAACCTAGCTGAGATCAGTCAGTCTCCAAACCATTACCTTTTCCATACAACAACATCCTGACCTCTACACAGAACTCTTCAGTGATCCTCAGTGGTGTATTCCTATTACAATGTGAGTTCTGCTTTGATGAAGTGGGTCTCTCAATCAAATGTATAGAATATAAGCATGTCTCTTGGAGCTCGGAGCACTGTGTCACCAACCGGAGGGTGTTTGAGATGTCAGACAGAGCAAAGCCAGTGGAGAGTTACTCAATAATGCTGTTATGGCCTCCGACAGTATAGCTTCATAAATGCAGGGGGCATAGCAAAGATGATTCCTCTTTCTCCTATTGGAACCTGACATCATTAAATGTTTGTAACGGTTGTAATGGTGTGTGTGTGTGTGTGCGTACGTGCGTGTGTGTGTTGTTATTAATTAATAAATTACAAAAGGTTTAGATGAAACTGTGATGGTGTTTTGTGTTGCACAGATAATACATGATCAAATGTATCTTATGTACAAAAGAGGTCAAGGAGGAAAAGGGTGATATTATGGCCTAGTTCACTAAATTCCTTACAGTCACTTTTTGGTTAAACGTATAGACATTTAAATACAGCAAAATGTGCTCTCAAACAAGTTGTATATCTTGCTACATTAGACAAGGACTCCCCCTAGTGGTCAAATGTATACTAGATTTAGGTGTGTTACTGCTTGGCACTGCTCACAGACATGTATAAAATTTAAGGACAAAAAGAGGACATCAACGTCTTGATATCTTGCCTTCTAATACATTAGACCATTTTTTTTTGCCCAAAAATATTGGCATATCACCAAGTATATAAGGGCAAGGGGTCGATTTGGAATGGGCATTAGACAGAATTATTCCGTCTACCATTGACAACATTGTCTTCAATTACACTGTGAGTTCTACTGGGATAAAATGTTTCTCACTCAACCATAGCTGTATCTCATACGAGCACAGGGGACATGGAAATGTTTTGTGTGGGTCAAGGAGCATTGTGTCATCAACCGGAGGGTGTTTGAGACACAACAGAGGGGACGGTGACTCAATAATGCTGTCATAACCCCCGACAGGATAGCCTCAGAAACGTGGGGGAGTAGAGATGAGGATTCCTCTTTCCCATTGGCAAAGAACAACATATACCCTAAGCTAAACACGATGAGCATACAGTATAGACTTGTCTATGGGACAAATGTAATGAGATTGTTTTTTCTTGCATAAAACGGTAACTGCTGGCCTTTTTCTGAGGCACCTCTAGGTATGCAATTGATATTTTAATGCTAATAATGCATAATCATGTACAACATTATGTATAATAATGTGATAATGCCTCAGACCTTGCGTGGGCTCACTGTGTGGAAACAGAGCAAGCTGCTACATGCAGACTGCAGAGGAATATGGAACTACTATGCACACATGAATTGTCTCCTTGTCAATCAATCTTTCCCTTGGTAAGCATTATATGTATTGCAAAAGAAAAATACTTCAGCCATTACTAAGAGTCTGCTAGTAGGTGGATACCATAATGTGTCCCAAGAGATAATGTATGTCCAATACAGATCATTTATGTGTCCTTTTATAAATAAGGCCTCTGTTTCACAGGCCCACAGAGTAGGGTAGACACATGCACAAGACAATGGATGCGTTCTCCTTTCATAGGAACTGGTCCATGAAGTTGAATCTTCCTAAAGTGACTCAGGGGTAGAGGTTTAACAGCACAGCCCTAGAAGTGCATGGTATTATCAACTCACACTTGCCAGATACCACATTTCATTAAAGGTGCAATATGCAGAAATTGCTCCGCCATTTCCTAGTTGCTAAAATTAGAATATTCGTCTAATTTCAGTTTATGTGACAAAACAAGCAATGTGAAGAGTAGAGCATCATTGTACCATCTAAACTGCTGTGAAATATCTTTTCAATAACCAAAACTATTGTATTTTTAGCTTTTTGAAGCTGGTGTACAAAACCGAATGTAAAAACGCAAAAAAATTAAACTTAAGATTGGGAAGCATAGGAATAGCGCATCTAGAACATATCTACCGCTTCTTAGACTTGCTTTCAATGAGAATGACGGATCTATAACTCTTTTTTCTATATGAATTTGGTTGGGTCGCCTAAAAGGTTACATATTGCACCTTTAAACAACAGCCAGCCAAATATGTGTTGGCTTTCTGGTTTCATCCCTGGCAACCTGAAGCCACAGAACCTGCTCTATGCACAAACAGTACTGGTAGCCAAGTATGTCTGTAAAGGCTTTTAGATTTCTGACCAAACCTGGCAACCCTAAGCTACTGAACCTGCTTCATGCACTAACAGTGACTGGCTGTTTGGGATGTTTTTCCACTTACCTTAATTGTACTTTATGTACCCTGTGATGAACGTGACTATTTTGGCTGTAGAGTATATGGCATTTTGCATTGGGTTTTTTCTGATACATAAAACAAGAGTAAAACAACATATACATTTAGAAATAGAAATTCTATCCAATCATCCTGAATAATTTTATTGATAAACAATTAGTTATTTAATACAGTTTTGTTATTTTAAGAATGCATTTCTATGTTACTATTAGTTATCTGTGGTATATTGTTTTTGAAATGTGTAGTAATTAAAATATAATTCACAATACAGATGTACCAATGTACAAATTATTTTCTGCATTTTCTGCAAAAAGCAGAATTTATCTGGAAAACACTAGTTCCTTCATTACTTCCTTATTAATTCACTGCTTTGATGTCATTGTTTGATTAAACAACATTTACAACATTTGTGAGTGGAATTTGTGTGTTGAACCGACAACAAAAATCACTAGAGTATAGCCAAAGTAATATCTTAAACCTTAGAAAATGGTTGCAGACATACCCTATGTGTGAGGGTGTGCCTCCAAGTTTGTGTCGTTTCCTCACCTGTACATGTTGTCAGAGAACTTGCAGCTTTCTATGTGAGACTTTTGAAAAGTACTGTAAGTCTATAGGTACTTTCAATTAAATGCACAGTACAGTTGTTCTGAACTCAATAGTGTAGACTAATATGAAATAAAGGAAATATACAATAATGCATCTTTATTAGGTTGTAAGTGTCATTTTCAGAGGAAGATAAAAATTCAACAACAGATAAGTACAACAATGTAAAAAAAAAGTGTGCTTTTGTATTTAGCCTTTTCAAATTGCTTGTAAGATAAAAAAAGGAAAATTATTGAATTGATACTGATAGTTTTTTCGGGGATAACTTTCAGTTAAACTTAAACTTAACGTCAGTTTTCACTCATAATAGTGACTGTCTCTCCACATAGACATTTCTGACATATTGTATCATTCTAATGACAGTGTTATGTTATGTTATGCTAAGCTATTCTATGCCTAAGACCTCACCATGGTGCTGTCAATGACAGGTCCCCCCTCTGTTTCTAGTCTAGCCATCTAAACCAGCCAACATGCCTGAGACTGCCGAATCCCACGCCGCCTTATTGACCACTAACCGCAACTGCACCGTCGAGATCACCAATGTCAGCGCATCTT